CCTTGGATTATTTAGAAAACAAATATATAATTGTTTTTATTTTTAGTATTTATGGGGAGTTTGGGGATATCTGTTATTGATTCCTAACTTAATGGTGTTATAGTTATAAAATCAGTGTGTAAAATACTAATCTTTTAAAATTTACTGAAGTTTGTTTTATGGCCTAGAAAGTGTTCATTTTTCCTAACGTTCTGGGTGGCTTGAAAAGCTTGTGTTCTCCTTGTCTTTAGATTCTACTTATGTCCATTTGATCAGGGTTGTTAATTGTGGTGTTCAAATTTCCTGTAACCTTTAGTCAGCTACATTTATCGATTACAGGAAGAGGTATGTCGAAATCCCCCATTGAGAAGATAGATTTGTTCATTTCTCCTGGAGTTCTGTCAATTTTGCTTTATTATTTTGAAGCTATGTTATTAGATTAAAATTTTAGAATTGTTTTATCTTCCTGATCAATTTACCATTGCACAGTGATCCTTTTTTATTTCTATGAATATTTTTCTCTTTAAAGTTGATTTCATACAGTATAACTACAACTTTTTTAAAAAATTGTGAATTCTGGCTTACTATATCTTTTATTCTTTTACACTGCTTTTGCATCCTGCTTTAGTTGTGTCTCTTGAAAATAGCATATAGCTAAGTTTCTTGTTTGTTTTCAGTCTGATCATCTTTACCTTTTAAATGTCCAGAACAGTAACCACTGGCCACGCATGGCTATTGAGCACTTGAAAAGTGCCCTAAGGATAAAATACATCCCAGATTTCAAAAACTATGTACAAATATGTATAAGAAAGATGCATGTATGAAAAAATATAAACTATCTTATTAATTTCTATATTGATTATATGTTGAAATGAACATTTTGAATATATGGGGTTAAATAAAATATATTGTTAAAATTAATTTCATCTGTTTCTTTTTACTTTTTTAATGTAGCTGCTAGAAAACCTGAAGTCAGCTCTGTGGCTCACGCTGACTTCTGTGGGACAGTGCTGCTCCAGGCCCCTTACACTGACTGTCATCACTAGTGTATTTGCGTTCCCATCCCCCATCTTAAATTGTGCGGTTCGTCCTTAGTCTGCCTTTTCTGTATTTCTTTTTTTCCCACCCCTGCTTTGGAAATTATTCATTTAGATTTTTTCCTCCTCAAACTATTATTGTTTTTAATTAGTTTGGAAGTTATATGTTCTATTTCTATTCCTTTAGAGTTGATCTTAGACATTTTTTCCTTCTAAAATACATCCTTTTAGAAGTTGTGTTTTGTGGGTTTGTTGATAATGAACTCTCAGTTTGTGTATGAGTTTATATGTGTCTGAAAACATTTTTATTCCATTCCTATATTTGAAGGATATCATTCTAGTTTCATTGTTGTTTTCTCTTAGCCCTTGTAAGGTAATTTGCTGCTGTTGGGAAGTCAGTTAGCAGTCTAACCGTTATTCCTTTTTGGGTAATGTGCCTTTTTACTCTGCCTTTTAGTTCTGTTTGGTGATCTACAATATGTCTAGGTGTGGATTTCTTTTTCTTTTTTTTTTAATTGAAGTATAATTGACAAATGGGATTGTATTAGTTTCAGGTATACATCATAGTGATTTGATATTTATATACATTATGAAATGATCACTGATTTAATCCAAAATAATCCCTTCACCGATTTCACCCACCCCCACCCCAGTGGCAACCACCAGTTTGTTCTCTGCATCTCTGAATCTGTTCCTGTTTCGGATTCCTTTTGCTTATCTTGCTTTCATCATTGATATTCTTCAACAATTTGGGAAATTTTGCCATGTTATCTCTTTGAATGTTGCCTTGCTCCCATTCTCTCATCTCTTTTATCCTGGAACTTTATCGTATTATCCTCCGTGACTTTGAACGTCTCTTCATGTTTTCAGCTCTTTCTCTTTGCTGAGTTCTGAATAATTTCTTCTCATCTGTCTTCTAGTTAGTTCACTAACTAGTTCTAGTTAGTTCTATTCAGTTGTTTCCATTCTGTTGTTTAACCTATAGGTTGGATTTTTAAATTTCAATTATTTTACAATTCTAAAGTTATATTTTATTCTTTTTCAAAATCTGATTGGTCAGTTTTGATAGTCTCTTATTTACCATACCTTTGCTCCCCCTTTTTATTTCTCTAACTATATTAAACTTTATAGTCTGTATATGGTACTTCCCATATCCAGCATCTTTGTGGGTCACATCCTGCAGTTTATGACGTCTACTGACCGCGTGTGAGGTGGCTGCTTTTCTCGTTAAGGTGGTGATTCATAATTGTGAGCTCCTTCATGCTGGAGAGCCGTGTCCTCCTGAGAGTCAGTGTGTCTGCCTCTGCTGGTCGTCGGTGCCAGTGCAGACTCGGGGCCACCAGTCTGGGCCTGGAGGTGGTTTTCGGCCACACTGGGGTATGAGACCTGCACAGACAGCCTCGGCCACCGCTTACGGCGTCAGCCCCCAGGCGAGGTTGTTCTCCCCCCTCAGCCGAGAGCCAAGACCGGAAGAGGCAGTCTCCCTCTACAAGGTGGGTTTTCACTCTGAGTTTAGTCCACTGGGAATGCTGCTCTGTGGGGTCCCAGGTATATGTGTGTGGGAGGGGTCTCCAACCCAACCTCCCACCTGCTTGAGCCCCAGGCTTGTCACAGTCCTCTACCCCAGCTGTGCACAGTCCATTACAGCCCAGGCAGCTGAGGATAGGGAGGGGCCTGCAATTTACTACGGTCGACTTAGGCTTTCTAGAGGTTCCAGCCTCCGTTTGTTTTCCTTGCTTTATTTCCACGTCATCAATGCTTACACAAATTTTTTTTTATTTTCATATTTTACCCAGCATTTTTAGATACTCCATACTGGGTGGAGTTTCTCTGCACATCTAGCCAGCCGTATGCCAGAAATAGAAGAGTTAAATGCTGTTTCTATATCTGTTGAGATGATTATATTGTTTTCTCCATTAATCTGTTAACTTTGTTATGTTACTATATTTTCTAGAGGTAACTTATCCTTGAGTTCTCAGGATAAACACCGCTTGCTCATAATGTATTATTGCTTTTTCTTTTTTGAAAATACATTACTGGGTTTGATTTGTAATTCTTTCATTTAGAATCTTTGCATATCTGTTCATACATGAGATTATTTTATAAATTTTTTCATATACTGACCTCCAGTTTGTAGAATCAAAATTATACAGCCTCATAAAAAGAGGTGACAGATATTTTCCCTCAGTGTTTTGAAGATATTCATTATCTTCTGATACCGTACTTGCTGACAGAAATCTGCTTTCAGTCTAAACGTCATTCTTTTCTCTCTGGTACCTTTTAAGATTTTCTCTTTGTCTTTGCTTATATTCCATTTCACATGAGTGTTGTCTAGTTTTATATTCTTTTTTATTTCCTACTTAGGAATTGGTGTGTTCCTTCAAACTATTGGCTCATAATGCCTTCAATTTTGGAAAATTCTAAGCCATTATTTCTTTACATATTCCTGTTTTCCCATTTCTCAATTCTCTCCTTCTGGGATTTCTCCCAGCATGTGTTGGGACTTCTCATTCTGTCCTCCATGTGTCAGCTTCTCTTTCGTATTTTTCATTTCTTTATCTCTCAGTGCTGTACTCTGAATTATTTCCCTGGATCCATCTTCCAAGTCACTAATTTTCTCTGCAGCTGTGTTCAGTCTGTTGTTAAGCCATCCATCGAGTTTTTCATTTCTGTGACTGCTTTTGTCATTTCTAGAATGTCTATTTAGTTCTTTTTCAAATCTGCCTTTTTAAAAATAATTTCCTGGGGCCGGCCCTGTGGCTTGGTGGTTAAGTGCGCGCGCTGCGATGCTGGTGGCCCGGGTTCGGATCCCGGGTGCGCATCGAGGCACCACTTCTCCATTCATCCTGAGGCCGAGTCCCACATACAGCAACTAGAAGGATGTGCAGCTACGACATACAACTATCCACTGGGGCTTTGGGGGGAAAAAATAAAATAAATAAAATCTTTAAAAATAATTTCCTGTTCTTGCCTTAGAGATTCTGTTCCTTCCTTTACTCCTTTGAATATTTTAGACATGCTCATGTTACCATATCCTTCAGCTTATTCTTTTTTCTGTAGTTCTTGAGAGTGAGTTCTGATGTGATCTCATGCTGTTTGGCTCCTCTTCTGCTTCGTAAGTGTAGTTTTTTAGTAGGGGCCCCTTGTGGCCTGTGTTGTGGGGGTGCCCCTGTGGGGCAGGTTTGCATTTACCTCTGCTGGGGAGCCTCCTGGGTGGCCATGGTTCTCAATTTTTCTGTGAATTTCTCAGCTCAAGGTCTCTGCACCGTGTGGGTAGTATGAATTCAGTGTGGACAGGGGATTCCAATTTCTTATGGGTGGCTTTCCCACGCATGGCCCTGGACAAGTGGGCAGCTTCCCTCCAGCTCCCTCAGATGGGTGGAGGTTTCCTAGTCCCCATCTCACAGACGGGGCAGGGCCTCATGGCTCCCAGCTTATGCAGGCAGCTCAGCTCCACTCTCAGCCTCAGCTGGACATCGAGGCCCAGCCCCTAAGGCCTCATCCTGTTCCAGCAACTCCCTGGGTCACTTGGCTCCTGCTCTAACTCTTAATTTGACTTTGCATTTTCTCTTTGATTCTTATATCTGGAATCTTTTTTTTTGCACTCACTTAAATACATGTGTGGGGGTAAGGTTTTTGGGGGAGGTTTGGGGTTAGATTTTATCTAGCATTTCTGTGTTTAGAGCGAGAGCAGGGCCTCCCTGGGCAGATCCGTCCTGCCCATGGACCACAGGTTTGGCCCGGAGAATGTGCTGGTATGCTCCTCACGCTTTCCCAACCACCCACGAGCTCAATACCTCGTGACCCCATTCTTTGCCCAGAAGACCCTGCAGTCCCTCTGTGGCCTTGCCCTCCCTTCCCACTAGGCTCTTTTGCTGTTTGACCCTTGTAAGGTCCCCATGTCCATTTCCTTGGCTGGATCTGTGTCCACCCAGAGGGTAAGGGGCCCTGATGCTGTATGCTCACGCTCTCTCCCTTTCTTAGGCTCAGGACCCCCGGTTCCTGCCCCTGACCTCTTAATGCAGATCAAGCAGGAGGGCGAACTCCAGCTCCAGGAGCAGCAGGCTCTGGGGGTAGAGGCCTGGGCAGCTGGGCAGCCAGATATCGGGGAGGAGCCCTGGGGCCTCAGCCAGCTGGACTCCGGAGCAGGAGATGTCTCTACAGATGCTGCCTCTGGTGAGTGGCTGAGACTGAGAGAACAAAATGCAGGGGCTCAGGGCAGGGTGTGGGGGAAAGAGTTCCTGGAAGCATTGTGGGGAGCTGTGGGCTCTCAAACATATGGCCTGACTAGTTTAGAAGTTTTCCCACCTTCAGGCAGGGGCTGCACCGCATGACATCTTGCAGGCCCCTCTGGGTTCTGTGACGCTCTTGTCCTGGTATTTCTCTGCCTCACCTTCATCAGCCGCACTCCTGTTCTTCTTGCCCCAGCATTGAGCATTTAAATCACCAGTTGCAGGGCTGGCCCCGTGGCGTAGCGGTTAAGTGCACGCGCTCCGCTGCTGGCGCCCTGGGTTCGGATCCCAGGCACGCACCAATGCACTGCTTGTCAGGCCATGCTGTGGTGGCATCCCATATAAAGTGGAGGAAGATGGGCAGAGATGTTAGCCCAGGGCCAGTCTTCCTCAGCAAAAAAGAGGAGTATTGGCATATATGTTAGCTCAGCGCTGATCTTCACAAAAAAAAAATCACCAGTTGCTTCCTATTAAAGAGGGGCTGTGTGAAATAAGTCAGGGAGGTCTGTGCTTCCTGGTGCGTCAGAGAAGGGGACAGAAGAAAACTGGGTTTCCAGGAGGTGGGGTCTTTATGCTCTTGCAGAAGTCCCAAGTGGGCCTCAGGGTTTGCCTGCTCTTCCTCTCCCCCTGGGGTTTTCCTCCCCCTTCTCCCCCGTAACCCACGGGCTCTGATCTCTCTTCACTGCAGGCATGCACTCCAACTTTTCAACCACTATCCCACCCACTTCCTGGCAGGCGGATCTCCCTCCCCACCATCCCTCTTCCGCATGCTCAGATGGGACACTGAAGCTCAACACGGCGGCCTCCACAGAAGGTATGGGGGGGAGGACAGAGGAAGGGAAAGGCTCGTGTCTGCCTTGAAAGCTGCCTCAGCCTGGGCTTGTTTTCACTGGTGAACTGCCCTGACCCTTCAGCCGGCGGGCATTTAGGGTGTCTGTGATGTTAGGAAGCCATACAGCCTGTCCTTCATCTCCTTCTAAATTCGTATGCTTGAACAGTCTTCTTGAGAGTGTACATGCTTCTGACCGTTCCCTTCTCCAATGGTGTTAACCAGTCAGTCCTGAGAAGCTGATCCCTTGAGAGGATGTCCCTCCTGCTCAGACTCAGCAGCCCAGGCCCCTCTCTGGCATGGAAAAAACCAAACCAAACCAGAACCGCTTCTTAGATGTCGACTCTACCAAAGACAGGTGTCTGAAGGCCAGAATCGAGAGGACAACTACCAAATTTATGTATTAGTTTTCTATTTACTTTTGTTTTGAAGGCCAGTTATCTGTTACTTTAAGGAATAATTTCTGTCATATTTTAGTACCCAAAAAATGTGCTAAAAGCCTAGATCCCTGATATAAAACTTCAGGATGTGAAATTCAAGTATTATTTACATAAAATCAAATAAATTTTTATCATCTCACTAATATTTTTACCATTAGCTAGCTGGCTACATTTATTGAATGCTTGCTGAGTGCCAAATAGCATGCTAAGTGCTTTGAGACATGTTGTCCAGCATAATCCTTGTACAACGCAATGAAATAGGGTATTCACAGATGAGCTGTTGGTTAGGAAATCTGCCTGAAGTCTACAGCTGGTCTGTGGGGGAATCATGGTACAATCTCAGATCTACCTGAACCCCAGCCCTGTGCTTTTGCCCTGTGGGGCCATTGCCACTGGTGGTCAGAGCTCCTTCGTTAGGATACATTCATGATTAGTCTTAATAGCCAAAGTGAAATGGAACCCAGCAAGCATTTGCAAAGGTGCTTTACCTGTGGTGAAGGTTCTAGAACACGCAGATGTCCTCACCCAGGGTTTGAGGCAGCCACATGACCACCTGGGGGAATGCTCTGCAGAGCTGGATCTTGAGGCTTGGAGACTAGGGCCGAGAGTGGTGGTGGTAGGGCCAAGTAGCCGTGGATATGCACAGAAGGGCCTCAGATCTTCTCGCTCCCAGCAGGCAAGGGGACAGAATGATACCTGGTCTTTTCTTTCTCAGCAGATGTAAAAATTGTGATAAAAACAGAAGTCCAAGAAGAGGAGGTGGTGGCCACACCAGTACATCCTACTGACCTAGAGGCCCACGGGACCCTATTTGGACCAGGACAAGCCACGAGGTTTTTCCCTAGTCCTGCTCAGGAAGGAGCCTGGGAGAGCCAGGGCAGTTCCTTCCCCAGCCAGGACCCTGTGCTGGGGCTGAGAGAGCCCGCCCGGCCTGAGCGGGACATGGGAGAGCTGAGCCCCGCGGTGGCCCAGGACGAGACCCCTCCAGGGGACTGGCTCTTTGGGGGGGTCCGGTGGGGCTGGAATTTCAGGTGTAAACCTCCTGTGGGCCTGAACCCGAGGACTGGGCCTGAGGGGCTGCCCTACTCCTCCCCCGACAACGCAGAGGCTGTGCTGGACCCCGGCCAGGCCCCGAGACCCTTCAGCGACCCCTGTAAATACCCGGGCCGGACAAAAGGCTTCGGCCACAAGCCGGGCCTGAAGAAGCACCCGCCGGCGCCCCCGGGGGGCCGGCCCTTCACCTGCGCCACGTGCGGGAAGAGCTTCCAGCTGCAGGTCAGCCTGAGCGCGCACCAGCGCAGCTGCGGGCCGCCCGACGGGGCACCGGGGCCGGCGGGGGGCGGCGCGCGGGACAGCAGCGGCCTGCGCTGCGGGGAGTGCGGGCGCTGCTTCACGCGGCCGGCCCACCTCATCCGGCACCGCATGCTGCACACGGGCGAGCGGCCCTTCCCCTGCACCGAGTGCGAGAAGCGCTTCACCGAGCGCTCCAAGCTCATCGACCACTACCGCACGCACACGGGCGTGCGGCCCTTCGCCTGCGCCGTCTGCGGCAAGAGCTTCATCCGCAAGGACCACCTCCGCAAGCACCAGCGCAACCACGCGGCGGGCGCCAAGGCCCCGGCCCGCCCGCCACCGCCGCCGCTCCCCGCCGCCCCCCCGGAGCCCTTCAAGAGCCCCGCCGCTAAAGGACCCCTGGCCCCCACAGACCTGGTGACCGACTGGACTTGTGGCCTGAGCGTCCTGGGACCCACCGATGGCGGGGACCTGTGAGGCACCCCCAGATGGCCGCGGCGGCCCCAGACCCCGACCCCTGCGCCGCGACTGTACAAAGCCCCCTTTCCAGACATCAGGGCGGTGGGAAAAGCCGAGGCAGGAGTGGAGACTGGGAGAAGCAGGTTTCCGAGTTGCTGACCTGATCACTGGAAAAGAGAAACTCGAGCAGTGCAGCTTCCACCTCTGAACAAAGTAGGCTTCTCCGATGGTGAAACTGAGCACCATAGAATCTTAAGTAATTTAATTACGAAACCATTTTTTTTTAAATTCTTGAAGACAAAGCTGGGAAATAGTCGTAGCACCAGTTCAAACCTGATAGTGTACTTTTGGTTTCTGAGCGTGTGTTTGTGTGGGCTGTGTCCTTGCCGAGTCTGACGGTGGGTGTGCTGGAAGGGTGGCTGGCTGGGGACGCAGGTGAGGAGGGCCCTGGACCTCCCCGGCCCGGCTGACTCCTGGGGGCGGACTGGTCTTAGCGCACAGTCCAAGGGGAGTTGAGACCCTGCTCAGCCCAGGGCCGTGCTGGTCTGGGCCTGGGCCTCCAAGTCCCCTGGGGAGTGAGGCCAGGTGGGTGCTGTGAACCTCAGCCTCATCTCAGCAGTGAGACTTGTCCAGGAGCAGCCCGTTCCATTCCCAGCTTGCTTCTCCCTGGAAAAGGCCTCGAGGAGTGCTGGCCGTACTTGTGTTTCCCTATTACAGGCCATCTGCTGCCCCTGTGGGAAGGGGGCTTGGTGGTATCACCAACTTACGTGACATCTGGGCTTCACAAAGGAGATGTGTCTGAAAACACAGTGTTAGGGCTGCGGAGGGGAGGAGGCTGAGGGTGGGCAGTGGAAACCTTGAACATTATTTACTGGCAGAGCCAGGAACCAAGCCTGGCCTGCCGACCCCCACGTGGGCCTGCTTTCCACTCCAGCCAGATACTTCTACTTCCTTTTCTCTGTGGAGTGTTTTTTTCCTTGTCAAATGCTGTCACGTCGCATCTCGTTTGATCACTACCGTGACCTTGTGAAGCACACAGGACAAGTATTCTTGTTAGAGATGAGGAAATACGTTACTCCAAGGGGACACACCTCAGCCTCACACCCTGGCTGCACGTGAGTGCCAAGAGTTGGGAAAGCCTAAGGTTAGACACGGTTCCTCCTCCTGCAACATCATTTTGAGGGACAACAGCTTTTCCTTTTTGCTCTCTTAAAAGATTTGTTCCACATCTGCATGAGCAAAATCGTCAGGCCGCAAGGTTTGGTGAGCACGGGCCTCCCTGGTGTAGGCTCACTTCCCCCCGGGAGGACCCTCGCGGCAAGGTCTGAGATGCTGGGTAAGGGTCTCCGGCAGACGTCTCAAAGGTGGAATTAGAAATGGGCCCAGGCTTCTTGATTCCACCACAGTGCTGCCCCCGCCGCACAGTATCCGTTCCCCTTGCGGTGAAGCAGCCACTGGTTTGTTATCCAGAGTGGGTAACTTGTCTCCCCTGTGGAGGGAGAGACCGTGGCTTCTGTTCGTCCAGCTCCCTCATGCGTACTTTTATTAGGCGATAGACTAGTTAACAAGATTGTTTCTATGTACTGTATATTTTGTACCTGTTTACACTTCTAATACTGATATTTTGAAAAACAAATGAAGAGGAAACATCCTGTAAAAATAAAAGCTAACCAGCACCACGTGGTTTGGTGGGTTCCATTCTCAGACCTGCGTCTTTGACCCCCGGGGGAGCTGTGCCATCAGCCTCCTCAGCCTTGTGCTTGGTCGCCTTCGGCCCAGGGAGGCCGCTGTCCCTGAGAGCAGGAATGGAGAAATCCAGAGAAGTCTGACTTGAGATAAACTGACATTTGGAGGGAAAATGAAAACACATCCAGTCACTTTGCTTCAAAATATAATCACGGTTTATGTAATTTCAGTTTTATATAATTTGGTATGATATATATAAGGTCTGGGAGAAAAATCGCAGAATATCAAAGAAGAGTGGATGCTGGACGTTTTCTCCTTGCACCTTTTCTTGGCCGGGCAGAGGCCAAGAAAGGATTTGTGGTGCCTGTAGTCATAAACCTGGACTTGGAGTGAAGTCCAGCCCCTGGCGTTTGAGCCAGGCTAACACATGTTCCCACCACCAGAGTTATCAGCTGTTACGTTTTATCTCATGTTTTCAGTCTTCTTCATTTCAATCATTGTCTTTTTGAGAAAATGAAAATGTAAAATAAAATTTGCTTTAATTGGCTACGAGGGCATGGGAGTGGGACCAGGAGAAGGAGCAGGAGGGAGACCGCGTGCGGGCCCTTTGTCGCCGTGTGTCTCATTCCTTGTTGGCAGCCCTGACCTCTCGCCTGTGCTTCTTGTCCGCCTCCCCTGCTGGGCATGTCTTCAGTACTTGGAAGTCAACCGGGGACACTTCTGGTGTCTGCCCAGCTCCACAGTACCTCTCCACCACCACACCCTCCCAGTCCTCTGGCGCGTTCCCACACTCCCTCTGGCCCACACACTCTGCATGCAGGAATCGCATGTGTCATGCCTGAAGCCCCAACCCGCTCCACTAAATGGATGACCCCTAAGGTTCTGGCTCAGGGGCACTCTCCAAGAGAGAGAACATGGGGAGGAGAGGTTTTAGGCAACAGGGATTGAGTTCAGTTTCAGACATCCAGAAGAGGGTGCCAGTCAGTAGTTAGGGAGACCAGACAAGCACCATGCAATGGGGTCCCCGCCACTGCTCCCAAACTTCCCGGGACCCTGCGCTCTCCCATGCTCTGAAGCATCCTGCTAGACTAAAGCACAGCGGTCCCTCCTTGTGTTAGTTTCCTGTTTCTGCTGTGACAAATTGCCACAAACTCCATGGCTTAAACCAACACACATTTACCTTACAGTTCCAGAGGTCAGAAGTCCAAAATATGGAGCTAAAATCAAGGTGTCAGCAGGGCTGCGTTCCTTCTGGAGATTCCAGAGGAGAACCCACTTCCTTACTTTTTCCAACTTGAAGAGACTGCCTGTATTCCTCGGCCCATGGCCACCTCCATCTTCAAAGGGAATCACTCCAACTGCTGCTTCTATCATCACATCTTTTTTTTTTTTTCTGCTGAGGAAGATTGGCCCTGAGCTAACATCTGTGCGCATCTTCCTCTGTTTTGTATGTGGGATGCCGCCACAGCATGGCTTGATGAGTGGTGCATAGGTCCATGCCTAGGATCCAAACCTGCAAACCCCAGGCCCCCAAAGCGGAGCACACGAACTTAACCACTATGCCACCGGGCTGGTCTCTATCACAGCTTTTTTTTTTACTTTGACCCCCTTGCCTCCCTCTCCTAAAGACTCTTGCAGTTACATTGGGACCATCGGACAATCCAGAATAATCTCTCCGTCTGAAGATCCTAATTTAATCATATCTGCAGAGTCCCTTTTGCCGTGTAAGACAACATTCACAGGTTCTGGGGATTAGGATGTGGACGTCTTTGGGGGGCCATTATTCAACTTACCACACTTCCCAAATCTCAGGGCAGTTCTTATCACCTCTCTGAAGCCAGGCCAAATCCTCTGGGACACTCGTGTATGTTCTGGCACCAAAATAATTTGTGCCAAAATGAGAACATTGTGGTTCCTAGTTCTCAGCCATTCCTTCATCTCAGCCACCCTCTGTCGCTCATCAAAAGGTACCCATCCGCTGCCTGCCTCCTCTTGACATCTTTCTCCACCTTCATCTTTTTACAACTTTGTTCTCTTATTCCTGATGCTTCCAAAGATGGCTCCCATCCCTTCTGACTCTTTCCATTGTTAAGCAGCAGTGCCACATCATTGTCATGTTCACAGGCAGATTGAAGACAAGATAAGCCAACTGTGCCTTATCGATTTCAACAGCATCAAGATCTTTGAAGATGGTGCTGGCTGCTTGTGACTATTACTCTTTTACATCTCCATCCTTGGGAAGACACCCTTCTCCTCTGAGGTTCCTGTCACCTTCTACCTCTCCTTTTCTCTGTCATTTATCATTCTTCCACATCGTTGAAGGCTTGCCAGAAGTCCTTCTGGGCCTCAAGTCTAACTCCCAGCCCGCCCTGCCCCACTCCATCCTTCACACTGACCCAGAGTGACCTTTCTAACTGAGAAATCTGATCACTCACTCCTTGAAGTCCCCCAATGACTCCCAATCACCTGCTAAATCCAAACTTTAGCATGGCCTATCTGACCCCTCATGAGGTGGCTCCTTCCTTGTCCTCAGCTCCTGCAACTCCTCTTGCATCTCACTCTCTAGGTGAAGTGAACCACCTACCCTCCCTGAGCACTGTGCTGTTCCACGTCTCTGCACGTGCTGTTCCTGCTGCATACAATGTCTTTGCTCCCCTTGCCCCGGGTCCACCTGGTCAACTCCTTACCCCTCAGGTCTTGGCTCAGCTAAGCCTTGCTCGGTCTCTGCAGGTGGAGCTGATGCCTCACGTTTCTCCATGGACCCTCGCTCAGACTCCATCTGTCATCTCATTAGACACTACCGTACTGTGTATATAATGTGTTCCTGGAAATGTGTGTAAAAGTGTGTGTATAAAAATGAGGCAATAGACTTACAAATCCTAAGGAAGTCTTTCTTTCCTGACAGCTGTAAACCAAGTTCCTGAGTTAGCATAATTGTCGAGTTTCTTTTAACCCTGAATGTTGTCCAATTTCTACATGATTATTTAAAAACATTAAAAGCACAATTTAGACATTAAATATATACACTTAAATAATTTCTGTTTTAAAAAGTTGGGGGTCAAGAAGTAATAAATGCAAATATTGTAGAGTGTATAAACTGAACACACTCCTGACATAAACATCTGGAAATTCCAGATGGGATATAATAAACATAATTTTAAATATAGAGCTAAGATAGGAAGGAATAAAAAAAAAATCCTAGTGTGGCAGAAATAAAGACAAAACTGTACACCCATGTTGTAAGCCTGCGAGTAGCTGCTGCATCTACCTGGAGTGGGGTGAGGAGAAGGTATATAGGTCTCAGGCCCATGAAGGTAAGAAGTTGGAACTGACACCTCCAGACAAAGTCCCCTG